GTTGACTTCAGTTTAACCTGGGTGGGCCTGCCACTTTCCTGTTTTCTTTGGGCATTTAATAAACCCTTCAATTTTATGAGCAATTTAACACCAACCAGCATTCAATGTTGTCTTTGGAATAATCAATACTGATCTCCCCCCTTATTTAAAGAAAGAATGTGCTGTATCTTCCGTGTTCATTTCATTTCCTGGTATAAAATGCTCTCCCCCTTTTTGACATTTTAAATCTCCGGATTAAGTTCTTTTGGTCCTTCGAAGCTTCCTTCAAGGTGAAGCAAATCCATTCCATAGTGTTGCTGCTCATTTCTGTCTTCTCATCAGTGCGCGACTTCTATCAACCCATTCATACCAGACTGTTGTGTTCGTTATCCATCTCGTGATGTCAAAAGATTTGAATCCAGCATTGAAGTAAATCCTAGTCATATTATCCCCCATGATCACTGTAGTAGTGAGATGGAGAACAAAGAAAACTAACCCTGAATGGAGGAATTGGAGGGGAAAGAAAGAAAGAAAGGTTGGTTAGAAATATTCCGGCAAGATACCAGAATTTCTAATAGTTGGAAAGAAGAAGAGGGAAGATTCTGATGGAAGAGGTCCACCGGAATAGGTGTCCTGAGGTCCATAAGGGACCTTAGGTGTTTTCCTCAAAACTTTTGTCTAGGAGCATTCTCTAATTTTTTTGAGCCTTTATGTCTTTTTTTTCTTTTATAGATCATATATATGAACGCATTACCATATTTCTTGATAGTCATGAAGTTTCTGAAAATCTGGGAGCATAGAGGGCTATTGACGAGCTAATAGATGTCACCATCAGTGAAAATGCATCAAAAGTGGCACAATTCTCAATTACATTCACGTTGCTTTTGAAACAAAGCGTGATCCTGAAATCTTGGTCCTTGCTAGTAAAGTTCTTGGTCAAAAAGTCTAGGGAGTCCCTCATGTTTTTTTTTATATTTGCACTGTGAGAACACAATTTCATTTTCAGTTGGGGGGTGCCTCCCTTCTAGTCATTTTGTTGATTGTTTCTGCTTATAGTGATTGTGCCCTTGTCGGAAGTACGTTTCTTTCTTTGTTATGGATTGGTGTGCCCTTGTCAGGATTTGATATTGGAATGTTTATGTTGATATTGTGTTGGATTGGTCTATTTTAGTTTTTTATTTGTAGTTTGTAGCTTCTTTGTTTTTATTTTGATAAAAAGATTTGGATTGACGATGCCCGATGATGGATAGAGCATGACGACTTTCTAAATGGTAAATCGTTGATTGCTTGTGAGTGTTTGATTGGCGTTGATTGTGGTGAGGTCTAGTAGTTGTTCCCGAATAGATGCATGAGGTTTCTCAATAGTTATGAGTGATTTTGGGACAACTGTTATAAATCTTTTTGTAACTTTTGATTCATTAGCGGTTAAAATGTTCAATGCTACTTGTATTTTCAAAAGGAAGTAAGATTTTGAACCGTCTTAATTGATTTGCAGGTCCATGTGTGGTGAGTTGTTGCATAATGCCTTGTGTTTGCTTTTGTCACCTAGAACTTGCCCGGTTGGTCCTTGAATGAGTTTGGTTGGAGAAATGATGTGAGGCTTTCTTTAATATCTTGAAGTCCAATAAAGTTACCAGTTTAAAAAAAATATATCTTGAAGTCCACTTGGCCTAAAAATCTCACCTTTGTACTAAATATATCCTTAGTTGTCCCCTTTGAGCCTAATCCTTTTTATTGGCAACCACATTACAAGCCTTATCCTTTTTTGAAAAGGTAACCCTCTTTCGAACCCTTCCCTTCTTGAACTTGAGGTTGTGAAAGTTGAGGCTAAAAGCCTAAGTTGTGGGTGTTATGGGCAATTCATTGAAGGGATGCTTACCACATGAGGGCATGTTGTAAAAAAACGAAAATATAAAGAAGAGAGAAATTGAGGGATGGGTGGAAAGTCTTAAAGAAAGAAAAAGTTTTGAAAAAGAAAGAACGAAAATGAATAAATGAGTCTTGAATCCTCCAAAAGATGAAAATGGCTGCATGTGAAGCATCTAGAGTGGAAATAAGAAAAGAAAAAATGAAAAATAGTGTGGAATGTGCATGGGTTTGAAAAGTGAAGAAAAGTGGAGAAAGTTGGAAATGATGAGTCGTTGTGTAGTGTTTAAGGAGGGTGTAGTCACTTATAGATTGTATCTAGAATGCATTTGTGATCTATAGGTTGATTGATTATGATCTGTGGGGCTACCTGGGGGTTTCAGTCATTTATAGAAACCTATTTTTAGTATAGTGAGTCGTGTGTATCATGCCTTCAGAAACAGGTGCGAGTCAGTTTTTTTGTTTCAGTATTATGAAAGGCCATAAAGTTATCCACCATGACTAGTTTCAAAATTCTACTTCTCAGAAATAAAAAGAAGGAATAAGTTTAAAGAATTTATAGAACTTCAACGTAGCTGGATTGTCTTTTCTCTTTAGAGTTTCTGGGACTTCTTAGCTATTGTTACTCTTAATCTTGAAAGATCCCGAAATACAGTATTTAGCATGAGATATTGGATGTAGGTCCTGAATGGTTAAGTAGGCTATTGGACATAGATTTGATTGAAACTTTAAAAAGAAGTTTTGAAGTTGGAGTTGTATTGGACATGTATCGCACTTGCAAAAAGTTGAAGTTCAATGAGTTGAAAGAAATATTCACTGATGTCAAACTTGAAAACCCCATCTTCAAAAAGTTAACCAAAAAATCATTCCAATGCATAACCAAATAATGTTTTGAAAATAACTTTTGGTGAAAAGATAAAAAAATTCTCAAAGTGAAAAAGATTCTAGATAGTTGTTGGTTTGTGACGGAGCGGTTTGCCTGTCTTTGAGGTGCTAGTGGGGTGAAGGGAAGGTTCTTAGGTGATGGATGGCTGCATGAAGAGAGTGGTGGTCGAGGTACCTCTGCTAGCTATTGGAGGACAGTTTTTTCTTTGTTGTATTGCCATGTATTTAGTTATGCTAATATGTTCCATAACTACTTTAGTTTCACGCATTTATGTGCCTTTTGTTTTAGTCTCCTTCACAAAGAATAATGTAATATGCTCAAGTCATATGCTATGGGATTTGGAACCCACTATTATCTCTGCTTGTGATATGATAAGAGTTAATTTATCACCAAAATGTGCAGGAACACAGGGGAGTCATGATGTCAATATACAGGGAGGTTGCTGAAATTGTTCTAAGATACCTGGAGCACCAAGGTATCTTTACTTCCTCGAAATAGCCCATTTCCTGCGTGATCAATTTGTGACTAACTATTTAACAGTTTGTGACATTTGACTTCATTTTAGTAATTTAATCTGCTTTTACTAACTGGAAAATCTAGATGGAATGAGATTTGCATCTTTAATGTTGGCTACTGTAACCTCAAGTTTGTTGATTTTTACTTCTACAGATATGCATGAATCATATACTTCATGTCCTTAAAATACCCGCTGAAATGTGCTAGTGGGTTCATTGCTCTTGGGGAGATGGCAGGTGCTCTGGATGGTGAACTCATTAACTTTTTGCCGACAATAACCTCTCACTTGCGTGATGTGTATGTTATATATGTCATTGCAGATTTTGTATTCCTCAGCATTAAGGCTATGCCGGCAACCTTTAAAAGATGTGGCCCAAAAATTAAACGAGGAAGAGTTAAAAAACAGAAGAAGAAAAAGCTAAATACTTACAAAAGCAACTTAAAATATACTCATCGTTCATCTACTTGTACCCCTTCTTTACACCCAAAAGTATAATGTATTGAAAACAATTTTTTTTTACTGTCTGAACAAGATTGGTAATATCCTTAAAACGTCTATTGCTTCTTTTCTTCCAAATGACCCACCATAGACAACAACAACAACAACAACAACAAAACCCAGTGAAATCCCACTAGTGGGGTTGGGGAGGTAGAGTGTACGCAGACCTTGCCCACTACCTCGTGGAGGTAGAGAGGGCTGTTTCGAAAGACTCTCAGCTCAAGTACATCAAATCCAAGTAAAAAGAGAGGAAAACGGTGTATACAACATAAACATCCAATAAGAAAGATAGTATATAATCAAACAAAGGAGACAATACATCAATAAAATAATGTGAGAAGTGAAAACGCAGTAAACAACATGAGCTATAAGTATCACAGATAAGAACTGCAAGTGCAAGGCTAGGACTACTACAAATGCTAAACAACCCATACCCTTGCAAGGAACGACAACACGCTAACCCTACTAACCTTCAACCTTAATACGCGACCTCCACTCCTTCCTATCTAGAGTCATGTCCTCGGTAATGTGAAGTTGAGCCAAGTCATGTCTAATCACCTCTCCCCAATACTTCTTAAACCTACCTCTACCTCTCCGCGTACCCTCTACAACCAGCCCCTCACACCTCCTCACTGGGGGCGTCTGCGCACCGTCTCTTCACATGTCCAAACCATCTCAGGTCTCGCTTCCCTCAGCTTGTCCACCACAGAGGCCACTCCCACCTTCTCCCAGATAACCTAATTTCTAATCTTATCGCTCCTAGTGTGCCCACACATCCATCTCAACATCCTCATCTCCGCAACATGCATTTTTTGAACATGTGAGTTCTAACTGGCCAACACTCCGCTCCATACAACAAGGCCAGTCTAACTACCACTCTGTAAGAACTTACCTTTAAGTCTAGGTGGAATTTTCTTATCACACAAGACTCCAGAGGCAAGCCTCCATTTCATTCAAGCAACCCCAATGCGATGTGTGACATCATCGTCGATGTCTCCACTTCCTTGGATTACAGACCCAAGATACTTAAAACTTTCTTCTTAGGAATGATCTGGTGGCAAGTCTCACTTCCACATCTGCTCATCCAACGCATCACTGAATTTGCACCCCAAATATTCTGTTTTGGTCCTACTCAACCTGAACCCTTTGACTCCAGCGTTTGTCTCCACACCTCCAACCTCGCATTATCTCTGTCCCGCGTCTCATCAATCAGTACTATGTCATCCGCAAATAACATACACCATGGGACCTTCTCCTGAATAGACCGCGTCAACTCATCCATCACCAAAGCAAAATAGAAAAGGGCTAAGGACTGATCCTTGGTGCAGCCCCATCTCAACTGGGAAATGTCCGAGTCTCTTCCAACCGTTCTAACTCGAGTCTTGGCTCCACCGTACATGTCCTTTATCGCCCTAATATAAATCATCGGGACACCTTTAACCTCCAAGCACCTCCAGAGGATATTCTTCGGTACTTTGTCATAGGCCTTTTCAAGGTCAATGAACACCATATGTAGGTCTCTCTTCCTTTCTCTATACTTTTCTACCAGTCTTCGCATAAGATGAATGGCTTCGGTAGTCGATCGTCCCGGCATGAATCCAAACTTTCCAATTCTCAGAAATGGACACCCCTCTTCTCACCCCTCATCTCCACCACTCTCTCCCAAATCTTCATAGTATGACTTAGCAATTTGATACCCCTATAGTTTTACAGTTCTGGATATCACCATAGACATGATGGTATTATCTTCCAACTTATCTAGTTTTTCTTCCACCCTAGAACGAATGGGGAACACAAGCATTTCATAAGTTGGTAAAGTATCCAGGACCGAGTTGATTAGAGTGATCCTGCCAGGCTGCCACCAAGAGATATATATTGAGCTTTTCAATTGGCTAGTTTCCTTATATTTTTTTCCCACAATCCCTTCCTAAATTTCCAACTCTCTATGACTATTACCCAGTGGCCGAGATAAGTAGTTGGGAAATTCTCAATTCTGCACCCTAGAATGATGGCCAAACTCTGTATTTGTGGTGCTTCCATTACTGGGAAAATACTATCATTTACCCTTTGACAGCTAGACAAGAAACAACCTAAAAGACTACTAACACCAGTTTGTTGTAGCTACATCATTCTGACTTAGCCTCACAGAATATAACAATATCCTCTGCATACAACAAGTGACATATTTGTAGTTCATCCCTTGATGATTGCCTATTCTGAAACCTCTGACCCTATTGTTCTGATTAGTCGAGCCTGTCAATTTTTATAGTACCTATAGATTTTGTACTTTTGCTAACCAAGCTTAGATGTAGCTTGTAATTTTAACCTTTATGGATTTCCCTTTGGAATCCATATAAATGTTACCTTATAAAAACAAAAAAGGTTATAGATACATTTCCAAGTATTTTGAGTCCAACTTCTAACATCGTTGCGAATGGGGATCTCGTCGCATCCCTAAAACCTGCCTACCAGGCTTCTTATCAGGGGATCTTTGTCACCGATCACTTCTTTTGTTGCTGAATCTGATTTGTTAGTATGTTCAAGTGCTGCCCATTGTTCTTGTGTATCACATCTTTGTAACTCCCTTCACCTATTTCTCCCCAGGTTAAACTCATCTTTATTTGTTGTAATTGAATATTTTTTCTCCGGTAAATTGTTAATAAAATTTTCAATTTTCTTAATTAGTCCCTCCCAAGCTTCATTAAATGCGGTTTCTGGAAGAATGATGACTGATTTGGATTCTTCAGTAACTGCAATGATCGAAATAAATATGCAATATTTTTTAACTTCAAGGAGCAATAAATGTATGTGGACGGATCTCTGCGTTTCCAAGACTTGATGGATTTCCCTTTTAAGTCTAATGCCTCCTTTATTCTTCTGCACAACCCACACCAAAGGTCCTCTGCTTAAGGTCATCCTTCTCATATAAAATCTTTGCACTCTCCATCCATTCATACTAGATTCCAGATGTTGATTTGGTTTCTGTAAGGTCATAGGATTCCCCCCCCCCTAATCTGAAATAGATTCTATTCTCCATACGGCAAGATACATAAGCAGGATAAGAAGAAAATGTGATTCCGATGAAGTGAGTTTGTAGGAATTGGAGTAGGGTACAAGAAGGTAAAGAAAGTAAAAGTCTTTTCCGATATATACAGCCTCCAGAGTTTTTTGATATTTTGTATCCTTAAATTCTACTATACGATCAAAAGTAAGTTCTCATTTGTTTGCACTTAAGGAAGTCTAATCTTATTCATTCAGATCTCATTAAAATCTGTTTGCAAGGCCTGAATCTTAATCATTAAGTGCATTTGGTTTTCTTATTTATACACCACTTAATGGGTCTAAATGATTAATGTCATTAAGAATCTTTTTAAGAATATGTACAAAAATGACATTCACCGCTACACACCTACTTTCACCCATCACCCACAACCCCCATTTCAGCCTAACTGCCATCATCATTCACCTCTATTTTCTATCGATATCACTCCACTTCTAATTATTAGCCACCACCACCTCCATCCACTATACTATATGATAGTACCCCACAACCACCATTATCAGTTGACACCATCGAAATTGGCATCACAATCACCATTGTTAATCATTACCACCATCAATTGTCATATACAAATTTTAAAATATTTTATTGATATAATATTAGATCAATTTAGTATTTTATTTGAATTTGTATTATTATTTTTTTTACATTCTAATGTTGAAAAAAAACAGTCTTAACTATTTAACATTATGATCTTAGTGCAATATCCTAATATTCAAATGTGTATTTAGATTTAGATCTCTAAATGTTAATGTACATCTTAATATCCAGATGTACATTCAAATTCAGACATTACCTTTATATATAAGCCAACAAGGTGAATACCCAACACAGCTCTAAAAATGTTGTACCAATAGCATTGAAAATAGTACCACTATATTGAGCCCTATTCACAGCTAAATAAACATGTGTCCTTCTATGTCCTGCTGTTTCAATTAGTTCGCTTTGGTTCTTCTGTCAGTTCTTTTTATCTTTTCGGTCGTTTCTATTTTTCTATTTTTCATTCTCCCCATTCTCACTCTTGGTGGAGAAAGAGAATAAGAGACTTAGAAATAGAAGGTGTTATATTTTCGGAGAGAAAGAGAAAAATTGATGGAAATTTGAGAAGAGTGATTTAACTCCTGACTGTTGCATCAATTGGTGATGAAATTTATATTTGACTACCGAAATTGGAGGTTAGTTTCATTCTAATCGTAAAATTTATGAGGTTTCCTTCCAGTTTCTCGGTTTAATTATTTTTCATGAGATACTGATTTCTTATTTATTAAAGTCAAAATTATCTTTGACTTTTACGTGTTGTTGGTTTGGGAATTGGGAAGGTTAACAGGAATCTCACCAGAAATTTTGTAGCTCTTGAAACTCTTTTGGAGACACGGGAGATCATTTCTACTTTGTCTCAATTTCTTAGGTTTAGATTAGGAAAAATTCAATGAGAATATAGAAAAGCTCTTTGAGCAGAATTCTCAAAGGTTAGTACTGCTCTTTTGCTTCTTTCGAAGATCATGTCGAATCGCTCTCTCATACTCCTCATAGGTCAGCCCTGGTACCACAGAGGCCGTCGCCGCAGATGAGGGCGGATTCCAATTTGCTTCATTATCTTCTTCTTCGTCAGCGACTACTGCTCAAGACCTACCCTGTGCGAGTGACTGATGGGGGGAAGCGATGGCTCAAGGAGGGAAGGCGCAGTGCAGACTTGTTATATGACAGCCGATAGTCATTTTCGACGATTTCCCTCCCCTGATAAGTCTTTTAGAGATTTTACAGCATTTTCCTTTTTGTGATTCATATTTTTGTCTTTTACATATTCTCATCTTATTTAACTATTTTTGATCGATTAGATTTTGTTTTGTTCATTTGATTCTTAGTTAAGTTGTATTCAGTTAATATGTATTTCTCAATGTTCATGCGTTAACATCGAGATGCAACACATATATTGAGAATCTGGAGCCTAGCACACACGTTGTTCCTAATTGAGAAAAAAGCAAAAGAAAAAGGGGTATCAGAAAAGGAACATCTAGCCAAAGTGATGTAGACTTTGTAGCTGTACATTAATTAGGTATCGACCAATATCGAACATCTATTGCAATGTCTATTTTTGATGAAGTAATCGATTTTATAGAAAGCACATCGAGAAGCTAAAATGCAATTTGATCAATATTGAACATCTACTGCAGATTTTTATATAGCTTTTAATTGGGTTGCAGCTCCTCTCGTGGTGTCAGACAGATAGGAGTGCGTATGTGTGCTCTTAGTACATAACTTATATGAGCATTTGTTTGTGTGTTTGTGCTTGACTCACTGGCTAGATTGCGCATATACAGGTTTACCACTATAGATTGTATTTAATTCATCAATATGCATAAATCCTATTTACCTACAAGCGTTGGAGTTCATCGACTGGTATCTAATTTTCAGTGTTATCTCTACGTTTAAATTGCACTTGCAGAATAAATTGCATACATTTTTTTATGTGATGATGGGGCAAAGACAAACAAAGACAAGTTATGAACACAAAAAGCTCAAGTATTTGAGCACCAGTGACATAGAGAAGGAAGCAACATGTGTTGAATCTGAATCCATAGAAAAAATTCAACCATCCATGCCATCAAAAGAGTTGTAAAAGGTCAGTCTACTTATGATTGCAGAATAAATGACTATTCTTCGAACATTAAAGTTTTAATGAGCTCTGACTTTTGCAAAACATGAATACTGAAGAAAGCTTCCAATTCAGACGAACAAAGAGTGAATAATATCTAAGAGATTGGCTTGGTTCGTTTACAATTAGAAAAGAAATCTCATGCCACCGGTTCATTATGTTCATTTCGCGACACATGCTCAATCTTATATTTGTGTGGACATCTTCTTTCAACTTTCACTTCTCCATGTTACTGCTACTTTGTTGCTGGAGTTTGGGGTTTCTCTTACATATCTCATGGACACTTCTCTAAGAGGTCTCAAGAGATCAGTGATGGGTGTCGTTTCATATATTTTCAGGGATTGGATTAGTTTAGTTGCATAGAAGCAAGGGTTTACCATGTGCGCACCCCAAACGATAACGACTGTGGATTTCCTTGTCATAAAAAATATATATTCTCTGAGGCTTCATCAATGTTCATTATTTTACTACTGAATTCTGAGTATTATAGAAAATTCCCGATTTTCTTATGGCTATACTAGAAGTTTTTGCACAGTTTATCTCGCGTGTGCCTTGTTATTCTTCTTCTTCTTCTGGGCATGCATATCAATAATTGTATTTGAATTTTGATTTTACACATCAATTTGGGCCAAGTATTTCTAATCATTAGTTATATCGCTAGAGCATATATATTGAATGTGTGTGTCTGATATGGATTTATTATCCTTCGATCCAAGTAGCTCGCCTGAATGTATTCTTTTATACTTTTATTTTGCTTGATATCGTAAATGAAATAACCAAATTAGGACAGAGGGGAACATTTCCAACCAAATATAAAGAGTAGAGTTCTAGCTAATACAAATATTATGCTTGGCAAGTATAACCAAAAGAAATCGAC